AAGGGCATATAAATGTGTGAAAAAAAGCTACAGATGCCTGCATTTTAAGGTGTAAACCATTCCCCCCCCCCAGTTATTTGGAAAAAGAACAATCACAGTGTTCAGTATTTGTGCAGTATTGAGAAATGTGCATTTGGGCAATTCCACGAAAAAAGTGGACACGACGGCTGAAATTTTAAAGGAAACTGTAAGAAATCTTCCAAACTACAAACATCACAACATCAAATGTGGTGTCAAATTAATGGGTACAACAAGATCTTTCATTTGAGTGGCGTGCCGATGAGATGGCATGTAGTTAAGTGTGCTTTTGGGTCAAAAACCTTGTTTTTTGGCTAAAATCAAGGATTTTTGGTAGTAATTTTGGCACTTTGTATTAACATTCAAAATATGACTGTTATTGAGAGTTGTTGTGCTTAACCCTAAAAGGGCCGGGGCTCGCCCCCCCCCCCCCCCCCATCAACTTTCTCTGTGATAGCCTTAAAAAACAAAATTGTTTGCGACCTGAGCTGTTATGACTTTTTAGCCTCGAGCCTTGCGCATCTTTTGATACCAGAAACATAAAAATTGGACCTGGGTTTGCCGCATAGCGAAACATTTTCCGGCGCTATTAAAATTTGTAAAACTTCCTTGTTCATGTTGTTTTCAATTCATGTAGTGTTTCTTGTTAAAACAAATGAAATCCGGTTTATGTACCGGTATCACTCAGGACATACGTGAAATATTTCTAATTTGATGCGTACATGTACACAACTTTCTTCCTTCCAGCATCGCTGACATTACAAATCTGACACTTTTTTTTTTGTACTTAAGGAGCTCAGTGAATTAAACCTAAAAATTAATTTTTCAAATCTTGTACAAAATATTCATCATCTAGTAACAGTCAAGGGAATTTACACATTAGGAGTTAAATGTAAATGTGACAGAACCTATTAACCATGATATATGTAATTAATGATTCACATAAATGTTCCAAATCTCCTAGTAAGTTCTTGTATACATGTACTGTAGTTGGATTAAAAAAAAAATTGGTCAAGATTGTAAACATAATTTGTCTTCAAACATGCATGCATCAAATATTTTCCATTTTCATTGCTTGTACATGTACATGTAGTCCAAAAAGTGTGTTAATATACATGAAAGGCTACCGGTAGTTCATGCTTTGGAAAAAAATTATGCTAAACTCTTTTATCTGAATCTGATGATGAAAAAATGTGGTAGGCCTCATAAAGTCTGATTTAAAAATGGGTAAGGGGTAAGTGCTGGGTATTAAAGTCAGGGCGTGTCCTAGTGTGTAATCTCCTTGACCATAATTAGATGACTGATTGTATAAGATTTTAAAAGTACATTTTCAGGTTTATTCATTGAGCTCCTAAAGTACAAAAACAATTTGTTTGATTAATATTTATTTCCACCAGCCAACATCAAATAACCTCCAATTACAGGCCAAGCCCAAAACATTAAAGACAATATGAATGTATGATAAATTTACTGTTAGAAATATTACAATGTATTTTGCCTACATGTACATGTACAATGTACAAATTTGTCTGATTAGCATGATTAGTAATATCCATGATGCTGAAATTGCCTAAAAACTCAATCTCAGATTCTTTTGCGGCTGGAGAATGTGTCTGGAAGTTTCATTTCCTTTTTAATGAGAAAATCAGATAAATTTTGTACAGACAATGTACAGTAAGCCTACAATAGAGCACTTACATGGATGAAATATAGTGCTTAAATGTATGTATTTAGTAAAATGTTCAGAATTATTAAGCCTGTATTATAAAAATGCTTTCAAGAAAGAAGTGAATAAAGGCAGGAGGCCATGCTCATAAAAATGATGAGTGCCCTGGACCTGGCACGCTGGCTCAGCTCTCTCCCCGAGAGATTTGCCCAAATTGACAGACTTCAGAAACCTCATCAGCCGCTGTCATGGCAACCGCCCTAGATACACTAACCTCATCCCGGGCTCAGTCGCTTCTTTGCGTGCTCCCGTGTACGCTGTGTGTGTCTATGACTCTTTAGTGGCTCTCTGCTTGGTGGATAGGTGGCATGGAGGATGTATTCAAAGAGCACATCAAATTATTTGCCGCTCGTGTGAGTGGTCAAACATGGGCGATTGTGTAGTTACTAGCTCCATTCCTATTAAGAGAAAGAAAATCTACTTTAAGATTATTGGAATCACCCAGCAAGTAGCGATGTTTAAAACCAACAGGAATGTCATGGATAGAGGGAAGGGTTTTTATTTTTTAGGGACATTTTTGGGTTAAATGATGATGAAGATGACAAAACGTGTTTTTCACGAACTTCGACATGCCAGATGGGTTTAGGCCGTCATCTGCGGGTAGCACACCCTGATATTTCTGGCCTCTCTCGATGCAAGCAGGTTGCAGACAGATATTTCCGCCCTCGGTCGTTGCGTGTTTCAGTTGTAACATTCGGAAGGCAAAACAATACGGTAGGACAAATTAAAATGGCGTGTTTATCTGTCATCCGTTCTGAACATGTACACGTAAAGTACATGTACACTGTACTTTTCGTGTACATGTACCGGTTCATGTTGTTGGAAGAAAAGGAAGAAAAAGAGAGTCACGATGTGACTTTGCATCCATAATGAACAGGGTCATTACCAGAATATGACCAATACGTGTATCAGACGTTTGAAATCCAAATTACCCAAATTGCAAACCTTCTTTGAAATTCACATCAACTTTTCACATTCGCAAGGCAAAATAAATAGGACAAATGAAACTTGTGTCCATTATGAAACTTCTGTTCAGTATGTTGAGATAAGTACATGTAGTTGAGGCACTCTACAAACAATTGCATGGTTGTATGAGCATGGCAAAATTGGTATACATGTACTTGATCAGGGCTGAAATTTTAGGTTCAATTTGTCGTGTCCGTGCAACAAGGTCATACCGATATCTCCAAAAATGGTGTGTGATGTCATGTGCGTGAAACGCAAGTTTTCAATGTTAAAAGATCGTATCTCGCTTAAAATAACCCTGATGAAGTACACTCAAAGACAGTGAACGTGGCGATACGCGAGATACGACCTTGTTGCATGGAGCGTATCCATGCGATACGACTTTGTTGCAGAATCGAGTTACAACCTTGTTGCACTGATGGGACGAATTGTACTGGACAATACAGCTATAATAGACCTGACTTTTTTACAAGACCAGTGCCAATTAAAGAAAACAAAATATTTGCAGTTGTGTTTATAGTCTTCAGTAGGCCTACACTAAAAAATAATCGAAATATGTCACAAAAAGGTTGTGGAAAGACATGTTGTTGGCTAGAGTGTTAAAAATGATGTGGGCTGAAACTAGTCTTAGCTCAAGACGTCAGTGATTGCAGTGATGGTTGCATTTGTAGAGCACTGACAATTATTGTTGGCTTTGCGTTCAGTACCAAACATTCATTATTGCGCACAAACCATTTCGCAATCGATGATTGATTCCTTAGGCAAGCAACCAATCAGTGATTGCGAAATGAGAAAGGAGAGGGAAAATTTTAAAAGTTACGTTTTGGAAAAATTGTAGAAAAAGTTAAACGGCTATACTACATGTACAGGATTCCCAAGACGTTAGTGCAAGCTTGCACACTGGTCTAATCATGCCTTATGATGGTGTACTGCTACGAAATGAACGTGAAACAATATGTTCAATCCACTATCGGTAAGTCGCGTCTTGGGCCAAGACTAAGCTGACTTGGCTGAAATAAAATCACTCCCAGTCCCAGCGTCAAATGGCATCCTGCACATCCTTTGAATTCCCGGTGGCGCATTTGTCCATTTAATTTAGTAGAACTTTTATCATAATCAGCCTGGGTTCCTGTCATCTCCCCCCCCCCCCCAACCCAACCATTGCTATGAGTGCTTTTAATTGGATAGGAGGCTCATGCTATAAAGCTTTTCGGGGGGGAGGGGGCACTACCGGTATATTGCTAAATTGTGTGTAAAATGTCCGTCTCACTTGATGCATTTTGTGTTACTACATGTAGGTACTCTAATGAATGAATACTACATGTATATATGTACAGGTACTTTTTACAGGTCAACCACCTTTTTTGAGTGGTACACAAGTATGTCTGTACATGCATGTGCCTATTTTTCAAGGGTGGGATGTAATGTACAGAATGTATGAAGTATTTGAATTTGTATTTTATGTACCGGTATGTTTATTGAATGACAGATGTTGCATTATAAACTGTGTGTACAGTCCACGGATGAGGTATTATCATACAAATATCAAGTACTTTGAGCAATATGTGTAAGAATTCTGTGAACTTTTTAAAAGCCTACATTGTACGTGTAAGTGGGAGGGGCTTACAGTGTGCATGCACTGGTTTGCGCATTCTGGTTTGCGCATACTAGTTTGCACGTACTGGTTTGCGCGTATGGCACAAAGTGTGCATGATTTGTTATATATTCTGAATGCGTGCAAGTCCTAGCATCTTCACTTGTGTTGCGCATTGTTGGCAGTATGCGTTTGAATGTCCCTGTCTCCCACACTCTCCCTTTGTCATGCTTGTAACCCTTGAGGGGGTAGCTGTGCGCAGAAGTACAACTGTATGCCTTGCGCATGTGCCAGTCTCCACATTGTATGAAGATTTGTAGCACTACGCGTGCAAGGCACATACATTGTACATGTACATGTACCATAGACATGGCCAGAGGGGCCGGTGTTTCGTGAAGCATGAAGTGAAATTGTTGAAAAAAAATCATTCGAATTTTGTCAATTTTGAACTTATTTTGACTTTTTCAAGGAAAAGGTATAAAAATTATAAAAACCAGCTAGGGGCCTGGTCGTGGATAGTATTGGGCCATTATCCAAGACCAAGCCCCTAGAGCCGGTTTTAAACGTACCGGTACATGTTTAAAAACCAACCAAGCACATATTTACATGTATTCCCGTAGTATAAATCTCAAAATGAACTCAAATTTAATCATGATCAATCTTTTTCTTTCCTTTTTTTTCTTGTTTTTCCTACAGCATTGGTATATCTCCATACACTACAGGAATGATGTCCAGCGACAGTATGAACTGCGGTGTGAGACCGAAGGCGAATGCAACGCATGGATTGATGCCATTCAACATTCCAGGTAGGTATAGTTGAGACTCTGTTCTGAATAACGCAAAAGTTTTGCGTATAAACGTCATCTGATGTGAACTGGTTAAGGCTCACTCGAAATGCTCAATAGAATTGGGTGCAGTGGTAGTCTGGCTATAGGCTCCGTACACAAACAAGAGAGCACGTTTTTTTACCTTTTCCGAGAGCCCCATGGATGGCACGCACCGAGGGCGAGTACTGGTTCACGCACGTATGCATGGTACTATGAAGTACGCACGACTAATTTTATTCTGAATGTGAGTAAACCCACGGCATCTTTGCGTGAGCGTCAGGCGTCTTCGGCGACGCATTCTAATGTCACTCAAAGTTGTCTCTCCCAGCTAGCCCTACCTTACCGTTGAGGGGTATGTGTGCACGGAGCGGATAGACTCTGAGTGAATGGTAGTTACCAATCACATGGTAGAGACATGTTGTGTGTGGGCACCAGGAGTGCATTGCACTTGCGCGAAAAATGCTAATATTTACCGATGTTGCCTACACTCATGACGTTTGCGCAAGTTGGGCCGACTGTTTTGCAGTAACGGGCAAGTTCGCGCAAGGACTATAGTTAACCATTGGTCGACTAATGTTTGCCCGAACTCTGTCTAGTCGACGATGGTTAACTATGCTAGTCGACTATTTGGAACCAGCCTACTGGGGTTGGTTGCTTGGCTGGTAACCAATAGCCGCGCGCATTCATAACGCTAGCAGAGAGCCAGGATCCAGAAGTTTTGCGATGACATTTTGACCAGCGTTTGACTCACTGATCAGTGGTTTGACTAGAGACGTTCGCACGTTGCTATCAGTGCGCAGGCGTAAGGTACGTAACAAATCAACCACTAGTCGACTAATGATCCTTGCCCGAACTTGGCCAACATTGAAGATTGTAAGCAACAACGGCTAACAAACTTCCTAGGACTTCCTGAGTCATTAGCTATGTTTTCCGAAATGGCAGACGCACACAATGAACATAATGATACTCTGTCAGGGCTGAAATTTTCCACTTTGTAACACCTCAAGTAAGTTCATATAAAACATTCCTGGACAAAAATTCACTTCCAGTCAAAATGAAATTTTGCGAGGATTTGCAAAGCTATCCAAACCATGACACTAGTAGGCATCGGCATTCCGGGCACCGCTATTTTGACAAAAGTTTTTCGATGTCGTTATCGTTGCATTTGGGATTGGCATGTTCACAGGGCCTAGGTGTAGCTAACGAACGCAAGTTCGCATGACAGGAACGCATTCCAGGTTTAGCTAATGCTAGCAGTGTACCGGTATTCAAGTCCTCCTACCTTTCTCTTTGTAACTCAGTGAGGGGGTACTTGTGCACAGTGTCAATAGCACAGCAGTTGTTCTAAAAGTTGAGCTTAATAGACTTATCCATTAAGCCCTGCCCACTAGTGTTTCGACCAATCAGAGTCGTAATTAATGTCAGACATGCATCCACAAAAAGTCTGACATGTGTGCAAGTGCGCACGTGGGCTTTGTGGGGAGGGGGGAAGGGGGACACTTGCCCCCCCCCCCCCCCCAAAAAAGGAGAGAAAAGAAGAGAAACAAAAAAAAAGAGGTGCAAAGTCATATTGCTGTTAAATTAATGGGTTGGGAGGGGGAGGGGAGCAACTGCCCCTGCCCACCCTCGACAATGATAGGCCTAAATTGAAAATATGGTGTATTTTTGGGGGAAAATGTGCTTTGCCCCTATCTGGAAAAAATCCTGGCGACGCCCATGAGCGCGCATGACACACACAAAGTTGGAACATGCAATGCAGCATTGGAGATGCGTGCGTGTTGTGTGTAGTGGGCATCTAACGGATGCAGTCTATTGACTGAAGCTCAACTGAAGATACCGGTAGGATTTCAAGTGTAACATGTAGCATGCAGGCTAATACATTGTAGATCAACCACTTGTCAGTCAAATTGTCCTGGATTAAACTTGCCCGGCTGCATGTAAATGCATAGTGGTTCATGATAATGAATCGCTGCTTTCACAGTCAGTGATAGTTATTTTAAAATTACAATGACATTACACAAATGTCATGCAAGTTTAAGTCCTTCAGATACATTGTAAACCTGACACTTGTAGATCCTTCTTTAATATGCCAGCATGTGAACACTTGTTTATTTTTGACAGATTCTTTTTGTTTGGAGTCCATAATTCCATGGCTTTAGACCGACTCACTCATTTACTATGAAGAAATTTAAGCCTGGGTAAAAACTAGTGCACAGCATGCTGCATGTGTACAAATACAGAGCACAGTCATCATGGTCATGACAGTAAGCCCTGCCACTCTACAGTCACCCATATACCGCACACTTCAAGTGTGTACCGTATTTATTGCCTAGGCACACACTCTTGCAAGGCATTGCCATAAAGTCAAGTGATTATCGGGCGGCGCTCGGGCCACTGCACTGGCAGATGAGGTTACATGTGCTGAGCCCATCACCTCTAAAAGTCAAGAGAGATCAATAAATATGTACACACGCGTAAAGATCTACCGTCAGACATGCGTCAGGTGATGTTGCTCAAGCCTTAACTGCCGTACTGGTTATAGTGTCAAATGATGACTTATGTGTGGCTACCGTATATATAATTGCATCAAGTGTACTTCACTACCGTAGGTTTCGGTATCAAAATGTATAGATATATCTCCATGCCAAATTACATTTACAGAACCAGGTATTTTCGTGCAAATTACTGCTTGAAATGATTTGGACCGATATATGTACGTGTCCATGCAACAGATTGACTAGAGTTCAATGCAATAGATCTTTATCATGCTGCCACCATTTTAGTCATGTCCCCTGTATCCAGTAACGGTACTGAATGATAATGCTTTTTGTTCAAAAAGGAACCAGACTGTTTTTCCTTCCAGTCTCGCTTTGGTTACGTTGATTTGAATGGGAAAAAATCATGATGGCCGCAACATGATAATGGTCTATTTGTAATATCCCCTGCCCCCCCCCCCCTTTTTTAATTAATAAAGCCACTTCATGCCTATCACATGACAGTTGGCAATTCAATTTTCAAAAAGGATATGTAATTTCCCATAAAACATTTCTCTACAGTGATCTGATACACTTACATGTTCAGTACATTTACATTATAAATGTACATGTATGAAGTTTTTTTTTTTTTTTTTTAGGAAAACAAAGCAATAATGTCAATAGCTGATGTATTTGCTGCAGGAGGGAATTTCCCTCTTTTCTCCCATCTGGCTTACGAGCAGCCCACTTGTCAACATGAAAATAAATTGAAAAAATGTGTTAGTTATCATTCACATAATATAATATAATATAATGTAATATTTTATTCGGCAGATTGACATATATACACGCAATTACAATAAATACATAAAATTTGATAGTCAAACAAAAGAATATACAAACATTAAGAAACCAAGTAAACACTACACACGAAAGACAGAACGTGGACAGTGCAGGGCTGCCAAGGAGAAGAACAAGAGTGAAACAAAACACTGTCGCCAATAGGGCGTGTCTCTCCAACCCTGCACAATGACAGGCACATAACACAGACCAAGCACAAAACAATTAAAACACCAAAATTGCACAAGGGAGGAAATGTCCAAGGGAGTATAATATGGGATTAAAAAATGGGCAGGGTAGATGAGGCTAACTGAAGGAAGTGGATAGGAGAACCGGGCAGTACAACAGAGGGAGGGAGACAGGGAAGGAGAAGATGGTGTATTATGTAAAATGTATGCATGTACCGGTAATTAACCCTACTGCTGTCTGAACAGTCAAAGACCGTCAAAAAAAAATTCAATCATCTTCCCTGCCATGCCTTTTACACTGGCTAGTCACCAACTGTCAGATCACATTTCAAGCTAGCAAGTGCTTTGACTAGCCAAATTCGACAACAGACAAAGCAGGCAAGAGTCTGTACAGTCAAAGCACCTACAGTCAAAGCATAGCTGTTGATTCAGTAACTGGTACCTGTACAATGTACACAAACAGTCACAGCCAGTCAATCCTGCTTTACGTAGGCTGGGAGCTCTTAACTGTTAAAAACAGTCACCTGATTGATATTGACTGAAAAGACAACTTGCACGGAGTGTATGTTTGCATAGGAGGGTTAAATAATTCTAATTTCTAGTAAACTGCAATACGAAGATCTTGTGCAAACTGTAATGTTCAGTACCAGTACATGTGTATTCACTCAAATGAGGTAATGTGTGGATACACATGTAATTCCAAGGATTTTAGTTAATCATTTAACTGAAGAGCATATTTTGATCTTTTATATGAGCACTCGTGCAAAAAATTGTAATAATAATTTACAGAAGATTTGGTTAAACACGTTTTTGATTATAGTTTCTCTGTATGCATGTATTCCATTGTTTGTGACCTAATTAGTACTGTACATGCATGGGCAATTCCATTAGAAGGTGGCCGTGGCTAAAATGTGGACATTTATGAAATTGCTGCTTTTTTGTTGTTGTTGTTGTTGTTTTTTTGGTGCATTAGAGGTGTAGAAGGAAATCAAATTTTTTTTTTAGGGTTGAAGTTACCTAAAAAAGAAGAGATCATATTTTGGTCAGAATAAAACACAAATTTATATTTTTTATGAGCGAACAAAAAAAAGGAATTTATTGAAGAGCATGGAAAAGATCTACTTACTTGTAAAAAAAAAATTGTCTGTTTGTCCTTTGACAGTACACATGTATTTAGATTTGTAGGTCATTACTAAATTGATACAAATGTGTGTTTTATCGTCTTTACTCAGTTTCAATACACTCTTGCTGGAGAAGGAGGAATTGGAGCAGAAATATCTGCATCTTCTGCAGATCTTAGACAGTGAGAAGACAGCCAAGCTGGGACTGCGCCAACAGTGTGAGGATCTGACCAAGGAAGTGATCCGACTCAAAGCAGAGGTTGGTTCATATACAGGGTAGTCATAAAGCCTTATCACATTATCGTCATTCGTACTCGTGTTGGGTCCACTGTGAAACTGCAGGGCCCAATTTTATGGTGCTGCTTAACAGTTAGCAGAAAAGTTGTGCTAATTGCAGCAGAAAATTGTGCTAACTTTAAGCACTATTTCATGACGTGGATGTGCTAACGGTTGCAGGCGCATGGTGATTTCAGTTGTTACATCAATGATTTAAGCAACTTTTTTCCTCCGAGGTAAGCATGCCACTTGCTGTGCTTGCTGCTAATACAGTCTCCGTGAAATAGACGGAGGCTCTGTTAGCAGAAAATCATGTGCTGAGCAGCGACATGAAATTGGGTTCTGGTCCAATCGAACGTTACCAGTTAACTACAATGTAGGCATATCATTAAACAATTGTTGACTGCTGTGATGTGGAATATGACGTTTTGAACACCTGATGGGCGCACAGTACCCTTGGCTTCGCCTAGGGTGCTATGCGCCCCTCGGGTGTTCAAAACGTCATATCCAACATCACAGCAGTCAACAATTGTTTTGTTATACCTCTGTCCTGGATTCTTTGGATTGTGATGTAAAAATCACGAAAACAAACGGCAGTAAACACAACAATCATGACAATCTAACGGCAACTCACATGCATGTCGCGTGCTCGAAACAGCTGATTGTCTGCTAGTTCCCTGCTCCCACTCTTGTGTGAAAACATGGTGAAAATAGCGTGGGTACCAACGATACAAGTGTTTCACACCTTACCTACCGTAGGAGTGTGCCACGACCTTTCATAAAGTTAACACGTGATCGTTCTAGGCCAATGAAAATACAGTATTCAAGACAGAGGTATAACAATCACACTTATAACAGTTTGTACACGGAACGGCGGTAGATTTTGGAGCCTCTCAACCCTTGACGGGACCAAGTTTGTATTATACCCCTGTAGACAGATAAAGAGCTGTACCTGTCTGCCTGTGTAAAAACCATGTTGGTTTTCTTGCTAGTGTGAAATGTGCTTGAGCCTGTTCAAACACAGATAATTTTGATAGCGTAAAAGGGTCTTTTGTGTGACACCCATTACAGATTGTCATTCCAAAGTCACGCCAAACCAAACTGTTAAGAGCAACTGTAGTCAACCAAAATGGAATTTGGTTTCAGCAAGACGAAATTTGTACACTAATTTTTTCATGAACTGGACCAACTACCGGTATCTTTCGCATGAAGTCGCTCCTTATTGTTTGATGAATCAAACTAAATTCAAATTTTCCGTATAGTTTAATAACGGGGTCCATTTTGTGAATCATTTATGTTACAAATTTTCATGCTCTGGTATCTTTGTCAGCTGAACATACTTCAGAAGAAAGAGAGGAAGTTGTCCAACTCAATCCATGAACATTTCTCCAGGGAGCCAGAGAACATCAAGAAGATCAAACGGGTAAGAGCTCAGTGACCAGCTGTATTCCCTGTGTGCACTACCCCCTGGAGGCGCTGTTTCCTAGTGCAATCTTCAGCAAGTCCGAGTGAGAACTGTACATGTTTGGGTGTATCCGTTTGGGTGTACATGTTTGGGTGTATCCGTAGTTCAACTACGTTCAACAGAAACGTCCAATATACTGTAAATATCACCATCAAATCCTCCCACATTTTACATTGTATTTGTCACTGCATGCAGATACAGAACCAAATTTTGAACTACCGGGTACATTCAGACATTTTGTGGGAAAAAAGTATCATTTGAACTCTTCCAAGCTCCAAGCAGACACTTCAGATGCTAAAATACAATTTCAAAACTTTGCATGATAGTACAGAAATTGATTTTCACGCAAACTTAATTGCTGTGTCTTGTGAGCAATGCCCGATTTTCATTTTTCTAATCTTAACAACATCCTGTATATGGTTCAATGTGGCATACGGTATCTGGTTTGTCTTTTGGTGGTAGATAATGCGGGAGCAATTTACCATGTACTTTTAGGTGACTTTTTTCCTAATCAGTATCATTTTATTTACCTCATAAAAAAAACCCGGAAAAGTCAGCCAAAGAAATGTTCCCACGTGTCATATGATATAAAGATATTTAGGTGTGGTTGAAATATAGAGATAGTTAGTGTAATTGTACACACCAACATTCCTCTACTATCTGGTTGCGAAATCACATCCTCTTCATACTTGGCCTTGTATGGTATGTTTTTGACATATGCGCTTTGTGTACAAGTACCCCCTCAATGGTAAGAAAGGGAGAGTAACGGGAGACCACTGGGAGAGACATTCAACGCATTGTCGACAACGCCTGAGGATCATGTGAAGATGCTATATATTGTGTGCACATTTAGAATAAATGGAAAGATTTCCATATAAGAAGTTCACTAATTTTCCTCTGTATTGACTAACAAGCCCCCAGATAGCAATTTCATGTCATCAAAGTCAATTTGAGCAGTGAGAAAATACAAGCATTTTCTTAGAAAACACTTAGAATTTTTCAGTCCAACCTCATAGGGTTTGTACACAGGGTGTTGAGTGAACTTCTTATATGGAAATCTTTCCGAATAAATAATTAGTCGTGCGTTCATGTACATATGTACTTCATGCTATACGCGCACACCATGTGTCCTTGAAATGTGGGGCCTGCATATCATTGCATTCAATTGTGTGTTGCAATGCCCATTGAAAATCTCGCCAAGTGCAACTTTTACTTTTGGGGTTTCAGGAGCTTCAGTGCTTGTGCTCTTGTGATTTCTTACACAGTGTTCCCAAGTGAGGTGTCAAAATGTATATTTTTGATTTTTTGTTTTGATTTTTGATTTTTTGTTTACCGAGAATGTCCCAAGGATGATTCTGAAAACTGCTTAGTTTCTTTTTGTGCCGGGTGTATATTTCTGTTCAGTTTAGTAAAAGCAGTCGACAACAACTTTTTTAAACCTGAACTTAACCCAGACTAATTGTTCTTAAATGTCTCCCTTCTCTTGGTTGTTTAAAAAAAATTGGTCCAGATTTCAAAGAGAAGATAACTGTCATCTTCCCTGTTTCATAAACTTGTCTTCTTGGCAAGAAGAAGCCAACTGTTACACAACATACAGTGTGTAACACGGTATCATTTTTGTTTCTTGTATTTTTTATTTTCTTTTATCGTGACATATACTGTACTTGTAGGGTAAAAAAAAATGTGAGCTGCCTTAAGCAGAAAACTAATGCTTCCGCTGCCGAACTTGTCATCTAAATTATAGATTAGATAAATTATACATTCCTTAGTCTGTAAGTACATGTACAAACACTTGATTCACTGTATGTATAATTTACTTGTAAAAGTCAGTGATCCCATTAGAACAAGTGGGACTGAAAAGCATCGCAGGCCAGTGTTACGGCCATTAAAAAAAGCAATTCGCCCATCGCTATCACAGGTACATATATTTGTGCTGTCGTCTGTCTATAGCCCGCGGCCAGAATAGCATTGATTCTCAACAGAGTAATCTGTGGTCAGTGGTGCGTAGCCTCAGTGATAGCGTTGCCGTGACCATGTCTCCATCCCCAGCGTACAGAAGGCCAAGGTATCCCGACAAGCCATGCTTGGCTGTATAATTACATCCAGCGATGTCAGCCCGCGCGTTGTTTTAATGCTGATTCCCTGCCGCGCTCTCATTGGGTAATTACCTTCATCACTGTGGCTGTGCTGCCGGTTTAATGTGACCTCGATACACGATTCTTGATCTATTAGATCAGTACTCTGTCAAGTGGAAGGTTGCGTTCACCCCCCCCCCCCCCTTCTGTCTCTCGTGTGTGGATATTAGATTTGATTTAAAGGGAATATACAACATTTGCAAACATCGAAAAATAAAACTACCAAGTTTTTGCGAAATACCTTAATAGGATGTTGGTAAATGACAGTCTAAAGCATCCTGTAAAATTATGGCACCTGGTATACTGTCATTTTCAAGAAAAGTGGTATTTTTGTATCAATTTCCAACGCTGATCGGCCGATCAGCGTTGGAAACAACTGGTTTTTTTTTTTAAATACTGGCCCCAATTGACCATTGCACTTGTTTGCAATCGATTACAAACCTATGAACGGGTACGAGCCAGCTAGACTGGTTCCCTGACCTTACAATTCCCCAATGTATGTAAACTGCTCTGTTTCTTCTTATATGGAGTCAGGGAACCAGACTACAGGAAAATGATCGTTTTTCTTGGTTTTTATAGAATTTTCGAACCCAAAACCTCAAAAAAGTCAGTGTAACTATATTTGCTTTATATTTCCAACCCCCCAATTCCATCCATTTCTGAAAATTACAGCAAGAGCAAATGATGTATATTCCCTTTAATAGCCTTGAATGAATAACCTCAGCTCAGTGAACTGAAACTGAGTTGAACTGCACAATCCAAAACATGCTTGGTGTGGTGTGAATGACGGTCCTGAAATGCTCAACTAAAACTACAACTTCAAATGTAATGATATGTGCAGACTGCATATTTACTTTGTCTAGAAATGATTAATTTTTTTTGAAAATGAATGAGTTTGTTAATTTGTTTCCCCCAGGGGAACAAACACATGTACACTGACAGCTAGAAATCAAAGTATTTTCCTGAAAACATAAATGAGCCGTTTGTTTTAAATCAAATTTATAATTGAAACTGAAACAATATCATTTGGGAAAAAAGAATGTATCCTTGGGGCCTGTAACAAACAAAAAATTTAGACATTGAAAAAAAATACAAAGAAGATATACATTTGTGTGTAATGGTAATAAAAAGTATTTGCAACATGTTGATTGAATTACATTTAACATGAAATTACCAATCCAGATTGCAAAAACACTAAGTCATTTACAGGACTTTAAGCTTGAGCATGTTATTCTTGTCTTCTGTTTGGTGTTATCCAGGCAACACTCTGCCCGGCACGCTGCAAGGAGAAATAGGACTGAGCATGAAAAGAAAGGAACGTTAAAAACATCCCTGGTTTAGGACATGCACATGTATGTATCTCTAAGTTGTTTTGCAGGGCATCCTCATCAGAGCACCGAGATCAGATCTCCAATTCATCTGCTTGTATTTAAACACGCATCCCCTGGAATTCCCCAGCCCATTCACATCAAAACTGCTTCCCCAAACAACGGATCAAAAGACGTCTGTCGTCCTTTGTCCTCTAGTAGGGATGCTACTGCCTGATAGCTGTTGGACATATGTGTATCTCTAGCTCCCTTGGGGTCTGCACAGCCGATGGATAAAGGAGCTGATATGCGCAGATATTTTGCTAAGAACGTGGAGAATAGGCATAATTCGCAATGCAAAAACGGGTTAACGATGTTGTGCTTCTCCCCCTACACTCATGAGCTCCCCCCCCCCCTCTATGGCGAAAGCGTTGTGCAAGTTACATGTATTGTACATTTGAAGCAACTGCCTCATGACGGATTATCTGAACAATAGCTAGCATGTATGTTTTCGCCATTGAAGGGGGCCTCTGTGATAGAAGTGACGTCATGCCCTGATTGGTAATAAATGCATCGTGACAGTTCTCAGCTTATTCATATGCTGAGCGCACAAATTTGCTTAGTCGTTAGTTGTTGTGCTACACATGTATGTGCATGAATATCGTGAAAGTTCTTAGCTGATTTAAGCTGAGCACATCAGTTTGCTAAGTACAAAAATTATTTGCTTTTAGCAAAAACAGATTTCCAACCAAATTGTTGGGCTGTAAAGTAACTGTTTTCAACAAAGTACAATTTACAGTATAATTTGTGCTTTCTAAAGGCCATTCAAAGGCGCAAGTCTCCATGTACATGTACATGTACCGGTAGATGATTAGTACACGTACATTAAATTGAAAATATTAATGTGAAAAGATGTGTTTTGAGTCCTAATGACTCCTGTCGAGCACATAATATCAGCAATATTTTCTGCGTACATCTACATACATGTACACTGTATATCAGCAGTTCCAAGAAACTGGTCGCAGGAATCAAAAAAGGAAAGGATCATTCTTCACGCTTGTAATAAACGCACACTGCATGCCAGCTTCATGCTTTTGTAGTCAGGAGAGAGTGAGTGATCGAGTGAATGAACAAACGAGTTACATTAGAGTGACAAGCACCTCCCTTGACATCCTCCGAAGGAAAGGATGTTGAGATTGCCTTGCAGACAGATTTGACTTGTCAGTGATACGTATCAGGGGACCATGCTCCTTGCTTGTTTTGTCTCCCTTGATTGTTGAACCTTGTGATGCGTGGGGGGGGGGGGGGGGTTTGGAGTGCGGTAATAGGTTGTGTAGGGTTGATGGCCGTTCATGTTGTAACTTATGATTTTACAAGCAAATCAGCATAACCAATTTTTCAATGAACTGGGTTTTCAGTGTTTTGTATATTTAACCGAACTACAGAATTAATTACCATTAATTGGAGAGAATTTAAGTTGCACACCCCGTGCTCTTAAAAATTTAATATTTTTTTTCCCCATGAATTTTAAATATGTATATTTTGTTTTAACAAAAAACTACTCTAGTCCAATTTTTGGTGTCTGAAACAATCTGAAACAGGCTTTCATTTTGCAAACATAGAATTATTGTCAGGTGACCAATAATTTGAATTTTGTATAGAAGTAATTTAATAAATTAAGGGGGGGGGGTATTTTTGCATCTAATGTGTCATTCAAAACTGAAACACTTGTAAGTTGCCAAGAAAACAGTATATTGAAAAATATTTTTTTTTTTAAATGGTGAAACTAGAAATAACAGGGAATACAGCTTTAAAACAATGTATTTTACCCAGCTGTGATTGTTTAACCATCCTCCCCAAGATCAGATGTTTTTTATCAAAAATTCCATCTTATGAATGTTTTTTATCCTGTCCCGTATCCACATTTTAACGGTACATGTATTTATCAATTCTAATGCTTTTTAATAAAACTTGTTCACCGCTTTTCCACATTTTTTTCGCCTTTTCATTTAATCCCAGTTACCATGGTTACTGTACTGCACACAATGAACATGTGTTTCTTACATTCAGGTTCACAGTCTCATCTGGGGTTTTGGATACATCTGTTCTTAATACTCTTCTTAAAAACTGAAACATGTACTCACTTCTCACTTTTTAAGCTTGCTCCTTGTTTGTGTTCATACTGTGTGTTTGAAGGGTCTATTCTGTTTCTTCTTGTACACCTGTGATTCCCAGGTTCAGAGCTTCATCCGGGGCTGGTTATGCCGACGACGTTGGAAGGCCATTGTCCAAGACTACATTCGCTCCCCGCACGCTGAGAGCATGCGCAAGCGCAACAGCATCGTGTTCGGCATGGTGGAGTGTGAGAGAGAGTACGTGGAGCAGCTGTCCACGCTGGTCTCTTGTTTCCTGCGGCCCCTCAAGATGGCCGCCAGCTCCAAGAAGCCTCTCATCTCCCACGAGGATGTCAACTCGGTGTTCCTCAACAGGTAGGCATGTCAGTGGAGATCGTCTCACGAATACCGCCATCTTTGTGGTCATGTTGTAACTTTTGGGGGCATTTCATGGAAAATACGTCCCGTTATACATGTACATTATGTCCTCATGATGGGACATAGTTTCCATGAAATGCCCCAAAAGATTACCACGTGATCACAAAGACGGTGGTATCAGTGTAACCATCTTTGGAAGTTCACCTGTGTCAGTATTTAGATCTCAAGTCCGAACGTAAAGTTTTCTGCTCTAAACAAAAAAAGTTATTCCGTAACTAAAACTTCAATCAAAAACTGTGGTCTCCATCAGGAGGATGACGCAGATGTTGAATGTTGTTACCTTGTGCACACGTGATCCCAAACCCGGAATTCAGACTCCTAAGAGTTTGTACAAAACACACAAAATGTCCTGCTTCATTGATGGTTTGCAGAGTTGTAAGCAAGTCAATCACAATAGTCAAATCACAAGTCATGTCATAAGACAAGTCACAAGTAACAAGGGATGAACAATGACAAAGACATTGTCACAGCTCATTTGAATATCTTGTGACTTGACTTCAGACTTAAGATGCCTTGTGGTGACTTTTGACTGACTCAGTCACAACTCCGCTGGTTTGTAGTCTCTGGTGAAGGCTACCTTTCTGGACTCCCCTTTTGAAATACATGTACATGTACAGTGTATGTTGTTTGGAAGACTGGAGTGACCAATGATTGACTAGTCTGGGCACTGAATTTCTGCATACTCACAGTGGCCCCGTAATGGCAGAAGCATTAATTGTGTCAGTTCATATTGCCCAGAGTAACACTCATGGGGGGGGGGGGGGTGTACACTAGCTGACGCATATTTTGTAAACTAAATTGAGTTCTGAATTGACCTGCCATATCGTGTCTTTTGACACATTCTGTAATTGACTTTTGCTGCTTGTGTCGAGTTGACAACTGACTTTATACATGTATGGTAAATGGCTAGCTTCATAGGAATTAAGCCAGCCTTGGTAGTGAAATACCCAAGTTGGCTTCCTTTCTGCCAGGAAGTACAAGTAAAGACATGGATTCCACAGTTCGATTCCCGATTTTACATGCTTGGCGCTTAATTTCAACACCCTGGATTTGTATAAAGTTGCGAATAGGAATTAAACCAGCCTTGCTTGTGGAATACCCATGTTGGCTTCCTTTCTGCCAGGAAGTACAAGTAAAGACATGGATGCCACAGTTCGATTCCTGATTTTACATGTTTGGCGCTTAATTTCAACACCCTGGATTTGTATAAAGTTGCGAATAGGAATTAAACCAGCCTTGCTTGTGGAATACCCATGTTGGCTTCCTTTCTGCCAGGAAGTACAAGTAAAGACATGGATGCCACAGTTCGATTCCTGATTTTACATGTTTGGCGCTTAATTTCAACACCCTGGATTTGTATAAAGTTGCGCTGCAGGTACAGTTATAACATTATGAAATAAACAAGCTTTTTTTTTTTCCTGAAAGGAACCTGTATCAAACACATACATGTTAATATGCCGTAACCTAACATTCATCATGAAGTACATGTATAGGATTATGTATATTTTGTTTGCATATTCGGCATGGACTTGGATATATTGCTGCTGTTGGCATATAATATTATGTTTATTTTGAATGGCCCAGAGTCAGGGAAACAACCATCTGTTCATTTTGTACAAATGTGTGGTTGGTCTCACACGACATTTAACATACCGGTAATGTACATGTAAATTGAAAATGCACTGTACTGGGTGTCGGTATATGGGCGATGATACAAGGCGGTTATGCATTTGAGTCATGAGTCAAGTACATGTACATGTATGACATTGTCATGATAGTGCCAATCTGCACAATCGCTACTTGCAGTGGTCAGGTGTTCTAGTGTGAACATTTTGAAATAGTCCTTTTTATCCCCCTGGCTGTAAACCGGAGGGGGATATTGCGTATTCCTTCTGTTTATTTGTCTGTCCGTGCGTGTTTGTGGTGTAAATCGAGGACACACATGTTCAACATCATCGTTGAATCGAGGACGGAAACCGAATCGAGGACTCCTCGGTTGGAAAACATGTGCAAAACAATGAGGGCTGTTGCGGAAAAGTTAGAGTACAAACAAAGGAAAAGGGAAGAGGAAGAAAAGAAAATTCTCGATTTTACAACATAAACAAACGTGTGTGTGCATGTGGGCGTGTTCATCTGTTCAAACCGGGGATGAAAAAGTCCAGAGAACAAAAGAGAACAATATTGTCCACGATTCCCAGCATACGTCCGCGATTGGGGTCGTGAACAAATCATATGGGAGTCTTCCTAAAAAGTTAAAGAGTACAAACAAAAGAAGGACAATCTATGGATGTCCACGATCGACGGTGTGTAAATTCTTGTTTCATAGTTGTGGGGACTTACACTCGTCCCCACGAGGTATTTGTGGGGACCGAAAATGCTATGGGGGACAGCAGAAAGTCCCCAAAACTCGGTCCTAATTTCCCTAACAATAAAAACTTCCCCATAACGCGGTGTACATGTATGCCTACCTGAACATGTTTACGTGTGTGTGTTATGTTTTGGTTATGTTAACTCTTGTCAGCACGATAACTTGAGAAATACTGTACTTACGAACTTGACATTTGGTTTGTGGGTTGTTCTTGATAGTCTTAAGAAGCCTATTGCTTTTGGGGCTGACAGGTCAAAGGTCAAGGTCATTATTGCTAAAACAATAGAAAGCTTGTCAACGCGATAACTTGAGAAAAACTTTACTTAGAAACTTGAAATTTGGTTTGTGGGTTGTTCTTGATAGTCTTAAGGAGCCTATTGCTTTTGGGGCCGACAGGTCAAAGGTCAAGGTCATTATTACTAAAACAATAGAAATCTTCCATTTTGGTCAGGGACATGCTGACAGTATCCGTACTAACTGACTGTATAAAAACTGCCAGCATGCCAGGGGGATCACGCAAGTCTCACTTGCAGTATTTTTGTTGTTTCTGTAAACATTCTTGCCGTCGGCTTTCTGTCCACTACATTTGTACATGTACCGGTACGTGCAGTCAAGTTGCACTTTACAGTTGAAATTATACCAAATTCATGTGTGCATTTATGTGCATATTTACCCGGTACTTCCTTTTTTTCTGTCCAACTGTTTTCCAAAAAGGGTTACAAATGTACTTACATTGGTCTGTTAGTTTTGGTGTGTTTTTTTGTACAAGTACCGGCAATTTTACAGACATGAGTCAGCCTATCTGAAAGAATGGTTTTTATTTTTATCTTATTTTTTTAAGACTTCTTTTGGCTATTTTTGGGAGGAAGTGTTCAGTCACCCACACTTCCCAAGAATCCATTTTTATTTCTGAACTTCTGCTTTCTTAACCTACATTGTATACCTACATTGTACATTTGTGTAATGTGCCGATAGCCTGGAGGTTATGCAGCTCTGTGTATGCTGAAAATATTAAAAACACAAAAAGCATTTAAAAATGATTTTCGAGTTACATGTATTTTGATCTGGCATGTATGGTTCATGAATTGCAAAACACAGTGTACAGAAGTTTGTGTGCTGGGCTGCAAAGCAAAACCATGCTGGTCATTCAATAAATTTGGGGTCCCCTTTTTTTCTTGCCCCTGTTACATCTGACATCTATTCACTTCTTGTTGCAGTCGTCATCATCTGATGCACTCCTTATTGCAGTCATTAATCTTCAAGACTGATTATGAATAGCAGAGTATACCTACCCAACAAATACACAAATTGTTTGAAGTCATTCTTACTTGAATGGCAAATTACAAACTACCAAGGTAATTGGACAGAAACAAATGTCACACTTTTACACACTTGTTACATGTAGACCCTAAATTTATAGAATGACACATGTTTCAAATGGGCAAGACCATAGTAACTCGTGTTACATTTAATGGGGGTTTTTCCATCAACTCTGTGCTGAAATGCCTGAGGAAACTGCTCCACATCTTATAGTAGGAGCTCAAGACTAATGAGTTTGTGAGGAACAAGACCGAGAGTCTTGTGGGTCCCCAGGAACCTCTTCTTGCAACCATGGTTCGGCCACGTCAGGCGGCATAACCGCCTATGCAAGACCATCATGCAGCTCAGGGCGCCGTTGAGGGAGGACGCAGGTGAGGACACCAACGGAAGATCTGGTTTGACAACGTAAAAGAATGGACAAACATGACTATGTCAGAACTCCTAGTGCAGGCCGCTGACAGACCAGCATGGAGGAGGACTTCAGCTTTTTCTGCCCTCAGGTCCCCCCCGACAATGGCAACAGTCAAGGGAAACGGCGTAACATAACAGTAACTGTGCTGTTACTCTATAAAGTCAGAGCATTTAGTGGGGATTTTTTTATCGCTGAAGAACCCTTGCAGTTACATGTAAGTGACTAACCTGCAAAAAAGAGGCCAATAAAATAAATTTCTGATGGTTTGGCAATAAGTTTTTTATCAGTAACTCACATTGCAAAAAAAAAAGGACACAGCAAAAATGTAAATACTTTGCATTTGAAAAGTCTGTCATATTGTGCACTGTTGGAACAATCTTGCCAGTGCCCTTACATCATTAGGATGTAAGTCATGTTTGTTTCCATAACAACGTAACTCTCGATACAGTTTGTCCTCCCATCTTTGGTACAACTTAAAACATAAAAAAAACTAGTAATCGAACAGAAAGGTTCTTTTTGCATAAAATGTTAGCCTTTATCTCTGCCATAAAAACTTAACACGTGGATTTCGCATGAAAACAAGATGCTATAGTGACTCCCTAAAAACCCTAATTTTAGCGCCCAAAAAACAGTGGGTTTTTTCAAGTTGACAAAAAAAAGTAAGTTTGAGTTTGTTGTCCCATTTAATTTGATACCACATGTGAGATTGTAATGCATGTAGTTCTGAAGATTTCATAATTTTTTCCACTTGTCAGCTGTGCCCACTTTTGCATGGCATTGCCCATATATATATGCCATTCCCAATATTCATATGGAAAAGTGGGCAAAGAATTTTTT